AGCCCCCCATCTTTCCCCCTCCAGTCTCTCGTGATCCCAGAGAAGTTCCAGCACATCCTGCGAGTCCTGAACACCAACATCGATGGGCGCCGGAAGATCGCCTTCGCCATCACCGCCATCAAGGTGTGTGTGTGTGGGGGGGCTGTGTGACAGGCAGCTGGGGCTTGGTGTGCCCCGTCGCTGAGAGGACAGAGAAGGAGGTGGGCGGCCTTGGCCGGTGCTGGGCGGGGGAAGTCCCGGTCCCAATCTGGCATTTTGTCCCACCGGAAGGTCTGCGTGGAGCCCCCCTAACAACCCAGGCAGCTGGTCCTCGGCTCACGACTGCTGTTGAGCCCCGCCACTAAGTGAAAACATTTGCAAAGTGAAATTTTGGGCTCTGCTGGCTTGCCAGGCGGGAGCAACTGGACCAGGCCGCCCGGGGAAGTGGGGGGGTTCTGGCCGCCCTCCCCGGGGGCCCCCTCTGAACGGCTCCTCCCTTCCTCCGCAGGGGGTGGGCCGGCGCTACGCCCACGTGGTCTTGCGGAAGGCGGACATCGACCTGACCAAGCGGGCCGGCGAGCTGACGGAGGACGAGGTGAGAAAGAGCTGGGGGGGGGTTTGTCTGGATTTGGGGGGGGGGACGACGAACAAGAAGCCAGTGGGGATGCGGGGGGGGGTCCCTGGGAAACCCGGGAATGGCTATAGCAGGAGGCCAAATAGCTATCGATCCTGAATAGCGACGGTGTGTGTGCGCGTGTCTGGCAGCGTTCAGGGTTTGGATGATCTTTTAGGACCCTTTATGATTCTAACCTCACACAGACACACAACGTCTCAGCCCAGGATCCTTTGCCCAGTGTCTCTCCGACAATCCAACACGCACTGGGAGTATCCTGGGGGGGGGCCTTCCCAGGCCCCCATTGCCAGCTGGGGAGGGGGTCGTTGAGTGGATCCAAAGGGCAGCTGTCCAGCCGGTCTCATCTGGCACTCAGCCCCCCTTTTCCTGCCCGGCCTTTAGCCATTTGGGGCCCTGACCGGTGGGGGCCTCTGACCTCTTGACCCCCCTCCCCTGGACCTCCCCCCCCAGGTCGAGCGGGTCATCACCATCATGCAGAACCCCCGGCAGTACAAGATCCCCGATTGGTTCCTGAACCGGCAGAAGGACGTCAAGGACGGCAAATACAGCCAGGTGAGACCCGGGGGGGGGAGGGGCTTTCCCCGGGGGAGGGGGACGACTGCTGGCGGGGGGGCGCTTTTCCC